GTCATTCGCTCCTTAGTCGATTCCTAGAGACCATAAGCCTAAGATCCTAACTTTCTCTACATTCAGTAGTGGTAAAGTATCGTGTGTTACACTGTGTCTCCTTTAGGAGATGGTTTTGGTTTTGGTTACGGCCTGATCGTGGATACAGTCAGTCTCCAGAGGCCCATTTGAGCCTGGAGAAAGCCTGCTTTGATGTTTGGAAGCATTAAATATTTCAGTGTGATCGGTCTTTTTCCTCATTCACACAGGGTGTGTTACGTTAGTGACATTTTGAAAGGACTTTCATTTCTGGTACGTGGACAGAGTGAAAAGGAAGCAAATCTGAAGAGTGGTTGAGATGGTTGTTCAGGTGTGGTCCGTCTTCCTGCATGACAATGCCACTGTGGCACGCGCTACTGTTCAGGTGTTGCCTTTGAATTTCCTCCCTCAGGTCCTTGAGGCTCGATGACTGTCTCAAACCGGGAAACAAACCCTTCACGTGAAGTTCGGGCCAGTTTAAAACAGAGGTGATGTTGCACAATGAAGGACCGTCGTGAAATCAACAAGCTTCACGGTAGCAGTCTAAAAATAGTAGCTGTGCTGGGATCTGTGTGAAGACAGTCGTTCATTAGGCCGTTCTTAATATTCTGTATGTGTAATTTTGATGCAGTAGTGTCAGTAAGATTGTTCATCTCAGGCTGTTTTCCCACATGAACTCCTTACAGTGGCAGGAGAGTCATTGTCCAGAGTAGCCTTAGAGACTGGAAACACTCTGCTTTTGGTGAGGGAGGCAGGTCACATGATCATCACCTATTCACTGCACATTTCTCACATTCATGGTGTTGGACCTCATGGAGCCTCTGCTGGCAGGATCATGCTCCATTACATGGAGAGATGTGGATCTAGAAAAGTTCAGGGCTGAGGTGTATGTGTGAAAAATGATTTGTAGATTGGGAGTGTTATTCTTCCTTAAAACATTTCACTGAGGACAAATTGTGCTTGTGTATAAGGCAGGACAATATAGCCAAAAATATTTATCACGATATATATTTGAAAATTCGCAATAACAATATAGCTGACAAGATAATTAATGCAAACAAAATATTTTACAATTTCACAACTTAGTGCAAACACCCCATCAATGTATTTTCACTTAAACAAGCAGCTGATTGTAACAGTGCAAATGCAAATTCCTCGCTGACAGTTTAACCAAAAGGCATTTCCAGTGGAAATGGGCTGACATATCCTGAACATAACCATGTATAATATCCACACAAGTTAAAAAGAGCTGCTTTGCAACATCAAACTGCAGTGTGCCAAATAAAAAAGTCAAATACGTATTTTTGGACCATAAGGCGCACTGTTGAGTTTTGAGGAAAGTAAAGGATTTTAAGAGTGCCTTATAGTCCGAAAAACACGGTAATAACGACGGCTCGCTTGCATGCGCTACCAAAAATGTGCTTTGTTGTGCATCTGATGGACGAAAGCCAAACCAGTTCCAGTTCATCCGTTTCATTCAACGATCCGCTTTCCCCCTTCTAATTCTCTGTTGCTGCCATGCGTTTTCGGCCATGTGCGTATGAAAACAAAGGCACTGAGCATGCGCATTTACCCATATTCTATCGCAATATTTCATTTTCTTATCGTTGCCTAACATTATACCAGTATTACCATGAACGGTATGATATGGCCCAGACCTACTTGTGTACATAGTCACTCTCCAGAGCAGGAGAAACTCTGCTAGGTTGATGTTTGAATGCATGAAAACATTTTGGTGTCATCAGTTTTTTTTTTTTTTTTCGTTTTTTTTCCCCCCTCATTGCAACAGATGGAATGTGCAAATGTAAATGAAGAGACCTCTCCACAGAAAAAGAAAAAGAAGGCCCCCTCTTTGGAGTCAGCCAATCCATTTGAGACTATAGCTGCAGGTATGCCAGTTATGCAAAAGTGTGAATGGTGTAGTGTTTTGTATGGTAACTTTTTGGTTACTTTAGTGGAAACAAAAGCAAACACACTTCTTTTTTCCTTTCCTCTGGCTGGCAGCATGACGTCACAGGAAATTAGAGTGAGGCTGCTTCATAAACAGGTTGTGATTGTGTTAAAAAACAGGATATAATATATATAGGATATAATTGACCTTTCAGTGGAAGTGGTAAGACTCGATATTAAATGAGAACAGCTCGCATCTTTTTGCTGCTCTGAAATGATGTCAGCAGATACGTGTCTTAGTGCAATTGTTCCATTTAAATTTCTGCAACGATACCGGCTTGTATTTATATACGTATCCACATTAAAAACATACTGAAAAAATGGTGAAATGAGAGCTAAGCAAAGACATCTGCAGCACGCCTAACATGGACTTGCTTTCTTGTTGTGTTACAGGTGTGAGCAAGGTGCTGAGCGTGCTGGTTTCGGAGTTTGCTGAAACTTTAAGGTATTTACACAAGTCAAGACTGATTCTTTCCCATGATGCCAATTAAACATGGCTGATCAACATTTTCTCATGAAAAAGGGGAATGTAGTACCCTACCAGCACCAGCTTTATCCTGATGGGTGTGCACAAACCTTTGACTGTTACTGTAGCAGAACAGCACTGGATGTTTGGCAGGATCCAGATAAAAGAATATACCTTTGGTGCCTTTACCGCACCAAGTCCGTTCAAGTTTAGCCACAAGCAGCAGCTCATTACGTGACCTTTTAAAACGGGGATGTGATGCTGATTTCCATTCGAATAGAATCAGTGCTTTTGCAGCAATCGTGCCCGACCTTGGAGCTCGCCTCTGAAGGGACGAGAAAGTCAGTCTCGTCCGAGCAGTCAATTTTGGCCAGGTTACAGTCCAGGTGAACGGGCAAGTCGCACTGTTTGGGGAAACAATCAAATATGTCCTGGCCAAGACCACAACACGTGTGACTGTGCAATACCACATTTACCACACACGGAGGAGACAGAGGCAGGAATCTGTTATGGAACCTATACAAAACTTTAAATTGTGTTAACCTGTACCTGGAATTGACAGAAGGGCTTAACAGGGATCTGAAATTGCACCACCCAGTTCACTGAGTCAGACTTCCCTGATTTGACTGGCAGTAACTGGTGTAACAAAAACTTTGATGAACCAGGAAATTAAATGTTTGGCTGTACCAAGAATAGAGCATAGTGTATAACGCAGGGGTGCCAAACTTACGGCTGGCAGGTCACATCTGACCTGTGATACAGTTATACCCGGCCCGCGAGATAATTTCATATGTCTGTTATTATGTGGGAGCAAATCTTCAGCCCTGCTGAGAATCCATGCAGACAGAGGTGAGACTTTACTTTGATGGGCACACCATGTGGCCACACGCAAAGACTGATTGGAATCCAAACTCGTCCAGGTTTTAAGCTCATGTATGTTCTCCATAGCAGTAGCAAATCCATACAAGGCTTTTATGAAAACACTGAATAAAAATGGCTTCCTTTACAAAGACTAAAGTTACAGTTCAGTACTGAAAATGACATCAACTATATACAAAGTCTTTGATGACAGAGATGCAGAAATGTGTGCATGTAGCACAGAGCCATGGCTCAGTGTCGAAATGAGTCTCAGCGGCTGAATGTGCACGTGAAGCCATTTATAATTCTTGTTTGATCTGCTGCTCACCACAAACACAAATGTTGGACTTTTAACTGTATTTTCGTAAGTTTTAAGGCTTTTGCTACTAATAAAAGCCTCCACTTCATACTACACAAATTCATTAAACAGTAAAATGAAAGAAAAGTTTGTTTTTAACTTTCCACCACGGTTTTTTATAACTAGACTTAATAAAGTAATTCTGTAATATCATGTAGAAAAACTGCTAAACATGTAACTTGACACTGACAGTTTCACTGGTCCGGCCCACTTAAGATCAAAGCGGGCCGTATGTGTCCCGCTTAATAATGAAATTAGGGACACGGACTGATACAAAATGTCTAATTTGAAGGTAAAAATGTGACTGAGGAAGAGGAACTTAGCTTAGAGCTCAGAGAAGTAAGTAAATTGATCATAAATGACAAATGTCACGGAAGTGAAGCGTTTCATTCTGTTCCAGTCTAAACCAAAATTATTGCTGGCTTAAAACAACTGATTACTTTTTGTTGTTGCACAGCTTCATGGTCAGTGTTTGTCCACTGTTGTAGGGAGAGAGCTGCTGCAGACACCTCACAGATGAAGGAGCTGGAGGCCATTTCGGCTGAAGCACGAGACCTGGAAGGTCACCTCAAAGAGAAGAAGAAACAGCTGAAGGAAACACTGGCTCTTATTTCTGATAAACTGGAAGGTTAGTGTGCTGCCTGCTCTGTCACCTGTGTGAGGGAGCACACCTTTGTTTGTGTAGTGCACTTATTCATTTACTAAAGTAGAACCGGATTCTAAGATTTGTTCTTTCCCAGTGTTGTGTGCTGCTGTTATAGTACATTTAAGAAATATGTTATTGTTCTGGGTTTGAGTCAAATGTGTCCTTAGTCCAACATAATGGTGACAATTTGATTATTGAAGGTTTACAATTCAGTTTGTTGTAAAACTCATCTGACCAAATGCATCATTATACAATATTTATTTCAGAATTTTCTTCACAGCATAAAAGCGAAAAAAACAACAAAAAACAAACCCTGTACACAAAACTTTGCTGGGTTTATCCTCATTCGAAGCAAAATGCTGCGATAATGCAGTTTTGTTTTCTGCATTTTGATCTTAGGGTGCCCCCAAGCATTTCTTATGAGAATAAATGTTGTTACCAGGTGTTTAAATGCAGCTTTATTTATTGACAGAAGGCTCAGTGATTCTTGGATTTTTCTGAAATTGTACATTTTAAAGTCACAGAGGTTTCTCCAAAATGTGTTCTGTGTTAATTTGTTCATTACCTTAACAGTATCATAAGATCAGTTTTACTTTTTTTATAGCAATGCATGAAATAGCAGATATTAAAAAAACCCTCACGACCTTCATTTACAGATAGCTGTGGAAAAACAATAGAAACAAAGGATTTTATTTCAACACAGATTATATCGACACTTAAGGTTTTATTAAGTCTGAAAAAAGGCATGTATGCTTTAACATATCACTATGACATGAAAATAAAGGAATTCTTTAAATGAGGGTCTTTGCTTTTAAGTCAACATGTACACAGTGTAGGTGTGTCCCTGTGAAGTCACATGTACATCCATCAGACGTCTAAGCCGTGGCATTGAATGTCCCGTGGAAGCCATAGGGGATGTTGACAGGTACCACCGCCCTGCCCAGCTCCTCGAATGTCTTGGCATCTAACACCAGAAGGAATGTACTCTTGTCCTGGAGAGAACAGAGACATGGGTAAAGAAATACTTGGTGTACAAGACAGTGTAGAAAACACAACGGCACGATGTCCAAGCTCGTGCTCAGCCATGTTTTACATTTGTATGAGGAAACTGTATCTATAAAGAGTACCCTGTCCAAAATGGCTGGGCCTGACTAACCTCGTCTGGAGTGATGACCACAGACATGATGACACCATCATCCTCCTCTGTAGCATTAGGAGAGGGAACAAAGACCGGCTCAGATGGATACTGACCAGGATGTTCCCACACCTGTGAGGGAACATTTACACACCAGGGCTGTCACAATATCACATTTATATCACATTCATGATGACAAAAGAAAAATCACAATAACAATGCTATCTCAATACCTGTGGGACAGTCCTCTCTAACTTTGTTTACTGTTTGTTAACTCCATATTACCCACAATTTTTATGGATTGTCTTCAGTCTTATACTAGTTATATACCAGGCGTCCCCTGAGGCCTGGTATATAACTAAGGCCTGTTGTTTTTCAATACAACATTATATAATTTCACAATTACACAAAAAGTTACTACATATACATACAGTAATATACTACACTAGATTTCTATATTACAAAGGCTGACATCAGCATAAAACACTTTAATATAACCCTTTCCCCTTTGGGGTGAGTTGCGCTCTCTGTGAATGAACTAAAATAGAACCAATTATATCTGTTTCTATCTGAAAACTGTTGATTTCAGTTGTGGGGGTTAACTTGTTCCACAGATTGGAAATGCGAGTCTCTTTTCTTTGCTCCAATAAAACAACGTGCCTTCATGCGTTTTCCGTGGAGATCCATTTTAATCAGCGTGTCCCCTACAAGGTGTCTAAAGCCACAGCCATAGAAGAGTAGCG